TCTTTTCCGGAAAAAAGCCCCGATCACGAAAATGGCGATCGGGGCTCTTTTCCGGAAAAGCGCGTCTACATTGGCCACAGATGCTTTTCCGGAAAAGGGCTTTTCCGGAAAAGCAGCCTGCCAATGTAGACGCTCCTTTTCCGGAAAAACTGAAAACGGAATAGTATTCTGTTTTAAGCATTTCCGGAAATTCATGCCAGTGTAGAGACAGCCATGGTGTTTATACAGGAGTTTACTAGATTCAAATAATCCACTTTAAATTCAAACCTTTAATTCGTTTGTATTAGTTTTCATGAATTTCCCTTTGTAGACAAGCCTAAGTCTACTTAGATCACATACATTCCAACTTTCCCAAAAATTCCTCTCAAGCATTGTTTCCAAATATTAGAAGATAGCATCTCTAAATTCCTGTTTATGAATAACTTATCAGCTTCAGCAAACTCTTCCATGATCTTGAAAACTTCTCTAAGTCACCCTGAAGTCTTGTTTACCCATAAGACTCAGTCATGTTCAAATGACACATTCTTAACCTAGGTAGACCCAAACCGTCTTGTCCGGAGAAGGGGAGAAAAAGTAGTGACACATGAAAATTGCCCCCTCATGGAAGATTTCTCTATATTCTTCTACTGGAAGAGATATGTGGTTTTCCTACCTGAGGACGTCCAGGTAATTTGGTTCTCAGAAACTATGGATGTTGAGAGAACACCTAGAAGGACAGAGCCATTGGTATCTAGGCCCTCTGGGGCTCCTCCCACACATACTAATAATTAATTGAGGGCTCCTTTGAGCTGTCAGGGGCCTAAGCAATTGCTTAGTCTGCTTATGCCTAGAGCTAGCGCTAACAAATCTCCAAATTTTAACTGATTACTGAGTCAAAAAGGAAGCAGAAATTATCTGTGCTTTTCTTACCTGGGCCTTTTGAAGAGATACTTGAAGCTGTGAAAGGATCACTGCTTTCAAAGGGATCATGCTAAATGAGGGATAAAGAAGAAAGGCATGTGTTATTCTAGGCCAAAGTAATTAATTAATCTCTAATATAAGTCTATTATAGTCAGTGGAATTTAAATTTGACCAAACATTATGAAATACTCTTTTTGGCTGAAAACACACTATTGGTGCATGTAGATCTTGATATCAATGAAACAATGTAGGATTGCTGACAACAAAGGTACTATCTCGCTGAGCAGTGCAGGGGATGTTACAGTAAAATAAAGCTGGTACTAGTCACCAATGCAAAACCCCAGGCATACTCATAAGCTCTGAAAATGTGGCCACGTATTTAGATGCATAATCTTAGGCAATGAAATTTGAAAACGTTGCCCTATGATTGTAAATAGAAAGGAATTCTCTGAAACACATTTTCACCAAAAGAAACCAATACTCTGATATAAGTAGGGTCCTACCAAATTCATGCCTGGGAAAAACACATTGGTCTCCACCATGAAATCTGTTTTTTTATGTACTTTTATGTACTTTTACTCTATGTCAGGAGTGGGTTGTGAGTTGATCCAGCCTGCAGAAGTCCTGCCATTATCCCCCTCCCTCCAGGCCAATTAGGATCTGGGGAAGCACACAAAATCTCCTCCTGCCCTGCAAGGAGTGCATGGCACTCAGAAGCACCACATGCTCTCTCACCCCAAGGCCAATCAGGGTCTGTAGGTGGGGAAACCAAGAAGTGCCCTGGCCCTGCCATAATGGCTCATGATTTTTTAAATCCTATGACTCTGAAATTGACCAAAATGGACTATGTTGTTAAGGTCTTAGTTATAAGACAAGTATGAAATCTTGACTCTGAACTACTGTTTGAATAAAATTCACTATAACTATCCTAGTTATACCAACACAACTTTACCAAATACCTCAATTATTATCAGCCAAAAATACTCATATAAAATTGGTATTTTATGACTTATGTATAAATTACTTTGTGCCACTGAATAAGTCAGTCACTTACATGGATGTTTGGCAATACAAACGATGGATGTTTGGCAATACATATTATTTTATATTGATGGGAGTGTGGTACAGGACAAAAGCTCCATAAAAAGGACACAAAGCACGGGGGAGGGAAGAAAGGGGGTTATTAAATAGCAAGTATAAGAACTCAGCTGCTTTAACAGTTGTAGGCCATCAGTTCCACAAGAAATGAACACAACTGCTCATGGATGCAATTAGTCACATGTCACTTATATAGCACTTAAAATCTCTGGACATATTTTTCCTGTACTTTTAGGCAAAGTATTTGCATAACAGTAGAAAAAATGATGATAGTACAACATGCAAACATTCAAAAATTACCTACCCTTGAGGGCAGGGTGGGTTTTTTTGTGAATGCATCTGAGATAAATGGATCATTCTTCACCTGTTTCTTAAAAAAATCCTCAGAGACAGAACTACGAAATGGGTCACTTTCTTTAAAAGGATCTGCTCCAAATGGATCTAGCAAAAGAGTTAAGGGATGTAAACAAAATGAATTGCTTTACAGGTAAAACACTAAACAATGTGCTATAGGGAGCAATCAAGCCTTAGCAAGGAGAGGGACCAATTATGCCTTTTATCTCAAACTTATTTATCAAATGATAAACTATTATGATTAAATTCCAATTAAGTGGATATTTTTATAACATTTATATTACAGTTATGAACTATATTTAATAAAATTGCATATCTGCTATATATTTTAGAGAGTTTGTGCGTCTGTGTGTCCATCTGTCTGTTCAAGAACTCTTCCTAAACGGTAATTTAGTATGAAGCTTCCTCTTATCATAACTTAAAACAAGATCAGGGTTCGGTTGTGCCAGGACAATCAATTGTGACTGTTTCACATCAAACAGAAAAGGAGGGGTGTAATAGCAAGGACTATTATACTCGTAAATGACCAAAGGGGGGCAGCAAGTAGTGGGGACAGGTATACTCACGAATCACCATAGCAAGCGCTCCAGTCCTGGGGAGCAATTGCTGACTGGCAACAGGGTCGCCCACCACCCTAGCCCGCCCCAGGGAGTAGCTGCCTGCCATGGTGTGGCCCTTGGCTGCCACCAAAGAGCAGCTGTTGACCAGACCATCCCCAGGAAGAAGCCAGCAGGCAGACCGGGCAGGCCCGGCTGCCCTGGGCTGGCCCCGGAACTGGGCAACATGGGTTAAGTCTTCTAGTACATTTAAAAGCTTCTTCCTAAACTCTCACATGCACGCACACATATTTTCCAGGCTCCCCAGTTTAACCTGAAGCCCTGGAAAGCCAGCAGAATACTGGGCATATCTGTATTTGGCTGCAAATTATATCCTACCTGTCTCAAAGGAAAAGCTTTTACCTGTTGAAACAGGAGGTTGTTCTGAAAAAGGGTCATTCTGGAATGGATCATCTAGGTAAAAGAGAAAATATCTTGTTTTGTCAACTACTTACAGAACATCTACACAGGCCTAAAGTTTGGACTAATGGGGTGTGACCAGCAGTGCACACCAAAGTGCTGCACTATGATTTGGGATGTTAGTAGCTAGCCAGTTAAATGATTAACCAATAACCAAGCTACCACATGCAACCTCCCCCCACTTTGCTGCCTCTCTATGAGAGGCAGCAAAAGGGGGGAAGGCGGGAGCTGGTACTCATGGGGAGCCGACTTTTAAGCCAGCTCCCCACGCGTGCCAGTTCCCACAGAGCCACCTGACCCTCCCCCCACTGCCTTTCACACAGGAAGCACCACTAGCAGGAGCTAGTGCTTGGGGGAAATTGGTGCTTATGGGATGTCAGCCCAGCCTTTGTCTATAAGGAGCTCAGGCCCCCTGTGAACCAGGGCTGTTGCCACCCCGCGCTGCTACCTCTGTATCAGAGACAACAGCATGGGGCAACAGGTGGAAACCCATCTGTATGGGGAGCCCATTTTTAAAACCGGTTCCCCTCCTGGACGGACTCTACCTGCCACCCAGTGGAGCTGCCGCTGATACAGAGGCAGCAGCACAGGGCGGCAGGGGGCTCCCTAGAAGTGGGAGCAGAAGCACACTGGCTGCTGGTCCTACCCCCGGGGAGTACTTTAGCAACCGTATAACTACTAAAGGTTGTTGTAGCTACATGATTACTAAAATACACTATAGCTAACATCCCTAACAATAATTGCCTGTATAGATGATGCAGGGGCAAATTAAAAGTGCAAACTCTGGACCTTTTAAGTTTAACCAAGAGCATCCACGCAGGGAAATTAGAGTGGGGTACTTCAGTGGGAACTGCTCTTCACACCCGTTAGTCCGAACTGCAGGGCACATTCAGTTAATAAGATTAGCATAGCTTGTAAAAAAATACATGTTTGAAGGACAACTGGTTTTCTGGTTCTTAAATTAGCCATCAGTTACTTACTGCCTTTGAAAGGGTCTGCTCCTTTAAAGGGGTCAGATCTGAATGGATCTTCTGCCTGGAATGGGTCCGTATGCAATTCTTGTGTATTATTACTAAACAATAAAGCTTTATTCTTGAAAGGATCATCCTAGAATTAAGAAAAGAAACATTACAAAAATTTTATCAATATCAAAATGATTAATCATCCAGTTTGCAGAATTCTGACACATCTTATTCCTGTTCAATGTTATTTTAAATTCAAGAAGCTCCTTACTGACATCAGAAGTGCCCTTTCAGCTGAAGTATATACAGTAGACTTCCGATAATCCAGAACTTTTGGGATCTAGGTGGTGCCGGATTATCAAATATGCCAGACTATCAGGAGGTACTATAAGCTGGTTTTACACACACACACACACACACACACACACACACACACACACACACACACACACACACACATACTTTATACCACAGACAGACAGACAGACAGACAGACAGACAGACAGACAGAGTAAAACTCCAATTGTCCAGCATCCAGTGGTCCGGAAGTGCTCCGGCCAGCCGGACCATTGAAGCTGTTCCATACCGCTTCCCCACGTCCGCAGCTGGGGCTGCTGAAACTGACGAGTGGCGGACTTGGGGAAGAAGCGCGAAGCAGAGCAGCTGGGGTGCTGCCGGGTTGGTCCTGCAGCACCGCCCCTCACCCTGCTGCTCAGCGCCAGGCAGCACCTCAGCTGCTCTGATCCGCGCCGCTTCCCTTAGTCCACCGCTGCTGCAACTGATGAGTGGCAGACTTAGGGAAGCTCAGGTGAGGGGCAGTGATGCGGGACCAACTCAGCAGCACCCCAGCTGCTTTGCCCCACCACTTCCCCAAGTTGTCGCTGTCGCTTGCAGCCCCAGCTGGCCTGTCACCAGCGGCTGCGCGGGGCTTCCCCCGCCTCCCTGCAAAATGGCAGAGGATTCGCCCCTCGCCATGCCATTCCCCGCCAATCCCCACCC